TATATATATATATATATATATATATTTATTTATTTATTTATTTATTTTTTTATTTTTTTGCAAAAAGTAGCCTCTTTTGTCTCCCTCTGTGTTAATTACCTAAATATGATCAATACATCCAGAGAGTGTTACAGCAGGGAGAAGAGAGAGTAAAGGCTACATCAAAATGTGAGGTAATTAAGATAATACAAGGCATGTCTAAAAAAAAGAAAGTAAATAAAGCATCTAGCTCTTAGTAATGCTGAGGTAAGGTATTTGTAATTTGTCACCCTTTAACATGTCAGCCAGTATCTGTGTAGGATTAGTAGCAACAGTTTGCCTTTGGGATTCAACACCTTCAATAGCTAGGTAGTTAGCTGGTTTGTTTCCCTCCCTATAGGTAAAACAGTAATTGATTTGGATCTCCTTGGTGAGATGTTTTATCTTAATAATCCGCTGTTGGATATGCCATGGAGGTACAACAATACCTGTCATATACTCAATTAGCATAGAGGAATCAACCTCAGCTTGAATTTGTGTCCATCTGTTTATGACTGCCATTTTGATGGCCCAGTAAAGAGCAGCTTTCTCAGCTTCCAAGGCATCTTCAATAATAATTGGAGCTTTGAAGAACATTATGCATCTGCCTTTGTAATCTCTGAATACCCCTCCAATTCCTACTATGTGGGCTGTAAAACTTCCATAAGTGTTAACTTTAACGTGGGGATAACTGGGGTTTTTCCAGTAGATTTTAATGACTTTACTGTAGATCTGATCCATGCTTTGGTTCAACTTAAGGATGTTTGGAAACCCCTTCTAAATGATCAACTTTTTTATCTAAGCAAGACAATTTGCCTCCACTGTTGCAGTATTCACCTTATGCTCTTCATGCTTATTTTTGTTCCTTGCATTCCAAATGAACCAGGCTATGATGAAAGGGATTTTACATAGTTTAACTTTTTTCCAGTCTAGCCAGCACTTGTTAAGTTGTTCCCATCCCAATTTGATAGTGTTGATGTGGAAATTAATTGTCAGGGATCCCCAAGCCTTCCTGGAGAAGACACACTGGAAAAAAAAGATAAGTAGTTGTCTCTTCACTGTTATGGCAGAGATAACATTTTGAAGGCCCCTTCAAGCCCTTTAACTTGAGAATATCATCAGTAGGGATTAAGTTATTCAACACTCTCCTAGCGAAGAAAGCCATAGAGGGGGATAGGAATTTGTTCCACAAATTTTCACCCCAAGAGGTTTCCTCCCAGGTGAATAGCTGATTGTAAATGGCTTGGGTCACACTTTGGGTTGAGTTAACTTTTATAATCATCCTATCCTTATTATTTCTGTCAAATTGGATTTTAGATATCTGCCTCATGGAGTTTTCTATGACAACCTTTAGGAGTACTTCCTGAGACCACTTCTGCCCCTCCCAGCAATCCTTCAACATTAGGTTCTTGTCCAAATTCACATCCAAAGGATCAATAGTGTTCCTTGGGCACCATTTATCTTGCCAAAAGTTGATGTTACCTTGACCCAACTCCTAAGTGTAGAGATTTTCAGCTTGTTCCTTCATTTTCAGCATCTGTTTCCAGGTCATAGAGTCTCCTAGTTTGACCCTCACTTGGTTAGGATGATCAGTTATGCAATACTTGGAGTGCATGAAATTTGACCAGAGGTTGTCATTCTGTTTGAACTTCAGCCAAAGTTTTCACATGCTAATTTGGTGTAACTATTGAAATCCCTTGAAGCCTAAACCCCCAGCATATAGAGGTTTGGCAGTTTTCTGCCAGCTTGCCCAGATCCTATTTTTCCTGTTCCTAGACCATAAGAATCTGTTGAAGGTTCTTTCCAACATATGTTGAGTGCTTTTCTTCATCACTGCCACTTGTAAGGTGTAAAGGGGGAAGGTAGTTAAGATGCTTTTCAGCAAGGTAATTCTGCCTCGATTAGACAGGAAGGAATTTGCCCACCCTTGGAGGGTAGCAATGGTTTTATCCACTATCTCATTAAATTGTATTTTTTTGTTCCTTCCCTTAGTAAGATAAACGCTCAAGTATTTAAAAGGGTTATCCATAGCTTTGAAACCAGTGAGCTCTAAAATCTACTGTTTGTAGGCTATGGAGAAATTCTTGCTGAAGAGAATGTGGCTTTTATCTTTGTTCACTTTAAGGCCAGAAGCTTGCTGGAACTTTTGCAAATCTGCATATAGATGTTTGATAGCATTCTTATTAGCTCTGAGAAAATTAAGATGTCATCAGCATAAATCAGATGGCTAATGTCTAGTTTGGATCCATTGAGATAAGTGTTGTAATCTTTTCTGTTGCAAGGTTTATCTATGATTTTAGACAGGTAGTCCATAGCCAGTATGAAAACTGTTGGATATAAGGGGTCCCCTAGTCTCAAACCCCTTGTCTCAAACCCCTGTTAGCCTTGAAAAATCCATGGGTTTTCCCATTAATTAAAATAGTGTTAACATTTCCTTCAAGCCATCTTTGGATGATTTTACAGGAGTCTTTTGTAAAACCCGTAGCCTTCATAATCTCCATGATGAAGTTCCAATTGATCATATCATAAGCCTTCTTCAGATCCAGTTTAAATATCATGTTGCCCCCTCTGTAAGGTTTATCTAGATCCAACAGAAGCTCTTGGGCTATCATAATGTTGTCCCCTATGTTTCTCCCTTTCACAAAGGTTGCTTGTTTGGGGCTAATGAGATGTTGAAGAATGGGTTGGATTCTAAAAACCATAATTTTGCTAATGATCTTATTAATAATGTTAGTAAGACTAATAGTTCTGTAGCTACTTCAATACTCTTTTACCGATGATTTAGTGACAAGTATAATGGTAGTAGTATGAAATGGTTTGGTAAAGTTTGTCCCTTGAAGTGGTGCTGTATAGCTTCAACAATCTGTACTTTGAGGACCTCCCAAGCCTTCTTATAAAAATGAGCAGTGAAACCATCAGGACCTGTTGATTTGGCACTATCAATAGAGAAGATAACTCTTTTTATTTCTTCCTCTCCAGGGGTTTCAGCTAGCTTTATCTTGGAACAACTATCCTTCTCATCTTGGAACAAATTTGATTCCACATGCTGTCTTTCAGTTAATTCACAATGCATCAAATATTTACAGTAGGCCACATCACTGTCAGCAATCCCTTGTGCATCTCTGATCCAATTTCCTTGGTTATCTTTGATAGAGTGAATGGTGTTGCATTTTCTTTGATACTTGATGCAGGCATGATAAAATTTAGTGTTTCTGTCGCCATCCATGAACTTGTTCTTTGCTGCCTTCTGCTTCAGGAATTGTTCTTTCCATTCTACAACATTCAATAACTTTTGATTGGCTTCCAGAAGGAATGAATCTCCCACCTGACTCTTGCTGTGTCCTTCCTCCAGAAGTTGGAGCTCTTTCTCAGCCTATTCCACTCCAGTCAGAATATTCCCAAATGTGCTCCAATTCCGATTATTAAGAGCTTTAGCAGTCTGTATAGTTTCCACAGCTTGATTAGGGGGTTTTTGTAATCACAATCCTTTCAATTCTCCATAAAAATATGTATGAAATCTCTGTGGCTTGACCAAACATTAAGCTATCTGAAGGGAGGTATGTTGTTGTGTTCATTGGCTAAGATAGAAATTAACACAGGTCTGTGATCAGACTCTGCCAGACTAAGGTGAGTGACATCAGTTTGTAAATAATTCTGAATCCAGTTGTCATTAGCGAAGAACCTATCCAATCTCTCCCAAATTTTTCCCCTTCTCTAAGTGAAATCTGGTCCATTGAATCCCAAATCAAACAGCCCAGCAGAATTGATGTTGTCATTGAATTCAATCATGTTATTAGTGGAAGGATTTCTTTCTCCCTTTTTTTTAGCAGGTGAAGCAATGCAGTTGAAATCTCCTCCAACAATCCAGGCAGTGTTCGTCAAGCTTCTAATTCAGTGGAGCTCCTTCCACAGTTCAGTTCTTGCTGATTTGGAGGATCCAGCATAAACAAAAGTGGCTTGGCCAACCTGGTCTGCCATGTTAAAAGAGAAGTGTATGAATTGTGAATGATTGAGCAAAAGCTTGCATTTCATTTCAATTCTACTCCAAATCCATATTTTTTTATTTAAATTGGTGTTAAAAGAGAACCCTGGGAAGGCTTTAGCATATTTCTGAATATTTTGATGAACCAAAGGTTTCAGGATAACCAAGCACCAACACTTGTACTTCTTACTTAAATACTTTAATCTTTTTAAGGAAGTAAGATCAGCAATCCCCCTTATATTCCAACATATCAAATTAATCATGTTGTTGGGGTATGGGAAGAGGGTTGGGACCTAGATCTTGCCCTTCCCCTGGTTGTGTGAGAATTATTTATCCTTTGCTCCTTCTGTTGTTCTCCATTATTTATTTCAGTGTCTTCTTTGAGCTTCTTCTTTCTTTTTTTCCGTTGTGTTTGCCATTCACTTTCAATTGAGTATTGTATCTCTTGTATCAACTGCTCTGAAGGTGTGCACTTCATTTTACAGCTGCTAAGACCCCCTCCATATTTTCTTTGTTTTGTGGGACTTGTCCCACATTTTCTATTTCATTTCTTGGGTGATTACTGACTTCATTGATCCCAACTAGTTCAGTATCTATAGTTTTGTCATTGGTCTGTTTATCTACCTCTTTTTCAGTTGGGCTTAGCTGTGTGAGAGATCCTACAGGTTGAGTTTCTCCTTCATGCACCCTTGGATCACCCCATAGTTCCTCAACATTATTTGCTGTGAATTTGGCTAAGTTCTTACTCCTTCTTACTTGTTGTATTTCTCCTTCCTAATTCAGATTAAAATTTGCCTCCTCAGCAACTTTTGAAATAGGATTTGTTGGTAGTCTTTTGGTAGGTGGGTGTAGTCTGTAACATTTTTCCTTGGTATGTCCAAACATTTTGCAATGTTGGCAATAGTAAGGTTTTTTTTCCATGACTACCTATTGCCAGAAACCTTCTTCTTCATCACCAATCCACACTCTTTTTAGCTCAGGCAACGTGATGCTCCTTTCTATGAGAATTCTTGCACTTGCTGGTCTTGCTTTGTTGTAGGTGGGTGCATCCACTTTAAGAGGAGTACCAATAGCACTACCTATGTTGAATAGGGCATTTAGATTGAACAGGTGGAGTGGAAGTCCTGGTAGTTTGAACCAGATTGGAACCACAGGAGGTTTCTTGAAAGGATCAAAGTCTGGTGTCCATTTTAAAATCTTCATGTCAGCTCTAGCAATTCTAAATGTCTGTTTGGTAAAAACTCTAGCATAATCTTCCTTTGTGGTAAGTTAAATTAGCAGATGTCTTCCATTAAGCAAACCCAGCTTCCATGGACCTAGAATATGAAGTGAGTCAAAGAAACCCCTCACTAGCTCCATTTTGGGGTGACCCAAACTGAATTTGCCAATCAAAGTAAATTGAACTTATTTGTTAAGGATATTTAGTTCCTGATGCAGAAACCCTAGCAGAGCAAATCCAGCCGCCACCATCTTTATATATATATTTTTATATATATGGCCTTATATATATATATGGCCTTATATATATATATATATATATATATAATGAAGCTGGCGGCTGAAGTAAGAGGTGCTCTGCTAGGGTTTATGGCAGGATGAAGTGCTGTTGGAGTGATTTCTGTGGAAGGTCTGGCCTTTTTCTTCTCAAGGGAGTTGGTTTCTTTCTCGTATTACCTTGGGAGTTTGCTTTCACCTCTCCTTTTTCTAAGACTTTGGTGGGTCTTACTGTTCCATTGGAGTTTTCTGAGTTTTGGCTATC